GATTGGTAAGAAATACAGATTAAATTATGAAATGTATAACCAATAATACCCATGATGACTTACTAGCTATTGCGTGATAAAAGTAACAGTTCAAGTATCATTGATTGGTAAAGAAAGACAGATTAAATTATAAAAATGTAACTAATAATACACATTGTGACTTACTATCTATTGAGTAATAAAAGTAAACAGTTCAAGTATCATTGATTGGTAAAGAAAGACAGATTAAATTATAAAAATGTAACCAATAAAATACACATTGTGACTTACTATCTATTGAGTAATAAAAGTAAACAGTTCAAGTATCATTGATAGGTAGAGAAAGACAAATTAAATTATAAAATGTATAAACAATAATACAATTATGACTTACCGCCTATTGAGTATAAAAAATAACAGTTAAAGTATAATTGATTGGTAGAGAAAGACAGATTAAATAATAGAAACATAACCAATAATACACATTATGACTTACTATCTATTGAGTAATAAAAGTAACAGTTCAAGTATCATTGATTGGTACAGAAAGACAGATTAAATTATAAAATGTAACCAAAAATACACATTATCACTTACATACTATTATGTAACAAAAATAACAGTTTGAGTATAGTTGATTGATAGAAAAAGACAGATTAAATTATAAAATGCATATTTAATGATACACATTACGGCTTACTATCTATTGAGTAATAAAAATAACAGTTGAAGTATTATTGATTGGTAGAGAAATACAGATTAAATTATAAAAATGTAACAAATACGCATTATGACTTACCATCTATTGAGTAAAGAAAATTACAGTTCAAGTATCATTGATTGGTAGAGAAAGACAGATTAATATATAAAAATGTAACCAATATTACACATTATGACTTACCATCTATTGAGTAATAAAAGTAACAGTTTAAGTATCGTTCATTGGTAGAGAAAGACAAATTAAATTATAAAATTTAACCAAATTATGACTTACCATCTATTGAGTAATAAAAGTAACAGTTTAAGTATCATTCGTTGGTAGAGAAAGACAAATTAAATTATAAAATTTAACCAAATTATGACTTACCTCCTATTGAGTAATAAAAATAACAGTTTGAGTATCGTTGATTGGTAGAAAAGATATAAAATACATATTTAATGATACACATTATGACTTACTATCTATTGAGAAATAAAAATAACAGTTCGAGTATCGTTGATTGGTAGAGAAAGACAGATTAAATTATAGAATGTAACCAATAATACATGTAATGACTTACTCTCTATTGTGTAATATAAATAACAGTTTGAGTATCAATGATTGGTAGAGAAAGACAGATTAGATTATAAAATTAATGTAAACAATAATACACATTATGACTTACTCTCTATTGTGTCATAAAATTAACAGTTTGAGTATCATTGATTGGTAGAGAAAGAAAGATTAAATTATAAAATGTAACCAATAATACATGTAATGACTTACTCTCTATTGTGTAATATAAATAACAGTTTGAGTATCAATGATTGGTAGAGAAAGACAGATTAGATTATAAAATTAATGTAACCAATAATACACATTATGACTTACTCTCTATATTGTGTAATAAAAACAGGATTTCAATTATTATTGAAAAGAGAGATTAAACAATAAAAATGCACCGTAAGACTTACAAACTATTGTGTATTGAAAAGGAAATAACAGTTCAAAAGAAAAGACAAGTTAAAATAAATGCAGAATATTGACTCACTTTCTATTGTGTATTAATCATGTTGCATTGTTGATTGACGGGAATAAGAGATAAAATTTAACATTATTTTGACATATTGACTCACTCTCTATTTTGTAGGAAGTGTAATTATTTTTGGTTAGTTCCAAATTAAAGTTAAATTGACTAAAACACATTTTGAAATTTTCACTTACTGCCTATTATAATTGGATCATTGAGAAAGACAATTATAAATAATAAAACACATTTGACTTACAATCTGAGAATTACAATGGTTGAAGTAGAGAAAAAATCAATAGATAAGTGTATATCATTACTGATGATAATATCATATATTCAGACTTACAAACTATGGGTATTGGTTGTTGATCAGATCATAAAGAAAGCAAATATTTTACATGATACACAATTATGACTTACTCTCTATTGTGTAATGAAAATACAAGTAACAGTTCAATTTTGGACGATACAAGTAATTGTATAAACAAAAATAATCACATTTTGACTTACTCGCTATTTAAATAATGGTTGAAGAAAAAGAGTTAAAAACTTAAGCAATGATATACATTTTTGGCTTACTACCTATTGTGTAATGAAGAATTAAAGGTATTAAAAATAACGAATTTTGACTTACTCTCTATTTTTAAATTTTGATTAGAACAAAAGGAAGGCAAGTTACAAATTAACAGTACACATTATGACTCACTTGCTATAGTGAAATAAAAGCAATCATTGTTAATCAGAGGGGAAGAAAATTTTAAAATTTATGCACATTATGACTTACAAACTATTGCCGGTGCAATTATTACAGTTGCATTATATATTGTCAATTGGAGCAGGGAGAAAGAAAGCTTAAAAATAAATTCAAATAATATAATATAATGACTTACAAACTGTTGCAAAATAAAAATGACATATCCAATTATCATTGGTTAAATAGAAGATAGATTAAAAGATAAAATATAGTCAATAAGTAAACTGAGAATTGACTTACTTCCTATAAGATAGAGAAATGCACATAATGACAATGTATCAAAATTTGTGTCATGTATAACACACGACCAAAAGTTATGGTTGTACCTCAGATTGCATCCCAGCCATTACCAGAAAACCTTTAAACTTGTCAGCCAAATGACCTAAAAGAAAAGAGAAAGGGGCGAGGCTGGTTTACACTTTAATTTACAGCTCAACGCCGCGCCCACTTATTCTCTCAGCGCGCGCAGCTACGCCTCTCTTATTAACACATCACGTGTGATCACGTGTCTACACTACAATGGAGGTGACTATTAAAGAGGCAGACACTGAGGGAGAGTCCATTTCTTTATGTAAGCTTCATGCAACTCGTTCATGTACGTATTTTATTTTTGAAAGTGTACTTATTTAGGCTACTTGTTTTATTCATTTTTATGCAATTTCTGTTTTATAGTATCATTCTCTAATGGCCGACTTGATTCCAGTTCAGATGTTAAAGCAAAGCATTCTCTTTACCAAGAGAAAGGTATGAAGAGGAGGACATTGGTTACAAAGACGGACCACATGACGTACATTGGTACCAATTACGAGACTGAGGGAACCATGAACACCTTCCCTTTTAGAAAGTGAGAGATGAGATCATTTATAATCTTGCCACACCCCTTTCAGCAAATGATATGACGAGACTATTTAATTAAAGATCTTTTCACACTGGCAAAAGTAATGTACACTGATTTGTATTAATTGTATTCACACTACATGTAGGGTAGTTTCCAATTAATGCACATCACTCTCATTTCACCTCCAGAGGTGGATTGTATTGATGAAGTGCATCAAAGAGCTTCAAAACTGTGTTAGTGTGAAAAGACCTTTAGTGTTTCTATGCGTAATTAGTAGCGCCGCGCTTAGATTTTATCTGTTTAATTAACTCTATTAATAATTTTTAAAAATTAAGATTCTGTGAGTTACAAACTAATACCGTATAACGGGAAATTTTGGAAGGAGTAAAATTTGGCGAATTGCTAAATTTTGGTTATTGGCAGATTTTAATTTGGCGAATTAGTGGCCATGTGCCATTGAGCATGCATATAAAGGCTCAAAATGGCGGATTTTATTTTGGCAAATGGCTATCAAAACACCAAATTCGCCAAATTTAATTCCCTCCAAAATTTCCCGCTATACAGTATAATTTAGTAATTAATACTTACATGCAGGTATATGATTGGTGTTCTTGATAAAGAGACTGGTACTATGGAGTTACATAATACTGATATATTTCATATGACACCTTATATCAAAGGTATGGTAGACTCTGTAGCCAGCCATCAGTAGAATACATGTATCTATTAATGTTTGTATATTCTATACAGGCCCATGGTTTTTTCCAAAAAATAGCTCTGAAATCACCCCCAATTTTTATTACATTTTCTGATACATATTGATGTCCTTATGCTACATAACAAGTTTGAGCTGATTCCGACTCCAACTTTTCAAGTTACTGCCGTGTAAAAAATGAGCCAATTTATGAAAAATACCGAAGGCTATAGCCCATTATTTTTTCCAAAAAATGTCTCTGAAATCACCCCCAATTTTTATTATGTTTTCTGATACATATTTATGTCCTTATGCTACATAGCAAGTTTGAGCTGATTCTGACTTCAAATTTTCAAGTTACGGCCATTTTTAAAAATGAGCCAATTTCTGAAAAATGCCTAAGGCTATAGCCCATGGTTTTTTCCAAAAAAGTGGCTCCGAAATGACCCCCAATTTTTATTATGTTTTCTGATACATATTGATGTACTTATGCTACATAACAAGTTTAAGCTGATTTCGACTTCAACTTTTCGAGTTACAGCCATTTTTAAAAATGAGCCAATTTCTGAAAAATGCCTAAGGCTATATAGCCCATGGTTTTTTCCAAAAAATGGCTCCAAAATCACCCCCAATTTTTATTATGTTTTCTGCTGCATAGCAAGTTTGAGCTCATTCTAACTTCAACTTTTCAAATTATGGCTATTTTTAAAAAATGAGTCAATTTCTGAAAAATGCCCAAGGCTATAGCCCATGGTTTTTTCCAAAAAATGGCTCTGAAATCACTCCCAATTTTTATTACATTTTCTGATACATACATGTATTGATGTCCTTATGCTATGTAGAAGTTCAAGGCCATGCCAGTAACAAATTATTTTGAGTCATGGCCTCCTGCCCATTAATTTGTACATGTACATGCATATCAGGCAAGCAATGATATTGATACATGACTCTTTATGTGCTTGATCTCTACAGGTAAAACTGATACTCCAGTGACTGATCCTAATCCCTCCAAGCGTAAGTCCATATCCAAGGAAGAGTATTCTGAGGGTCTTGAGAAAGTGATGATGTCATACAGTAGCTCTCGGGCAAAGAAGGCGTGGTCAGCAGCTAAGAGGAATCATATAGACTCACTGAGATTGGAGGAGACACTAGCACCAACTGTGAGTCATATTGAGACTGAAATGGATAAGACTATGAACGAACTAGGTATGGTAGGAATTAAGTTGTACCTACTATTATAGGAGGATAGTTGTATTTATTTTAAACAAGATTTATTTGGAAATTTAAATTTAAGTCAAAATTGATGCCTGAATCATTATCTTCCAGGCATCTACAATGATCAATATCACAGAATTATGATGTCCCTCAAAATAATTATAACCACAGTACAGTTAGAATGCATATGTTAAACATTAGATATTATTTTAGTGAAATAATTTTCATTTTTAATTGGCCAAGTATTAGGCATTCAAAGGGTTCAGTAAGCGTATTCTGGTAGCTACTGATCTGTTTGGTCGTGGGATGGATATTGAAAGAGTCAACATTGTCTTTAATTATGATATGCCTGAGGACAGTGATACCTACCTCCACAGAGTAAGCCACAGCAACTAAAGCATTGTCTTTGTATTTTACTATGAATTTTATTTTATCTTTTTTTTGTTTTAACATTTTTGTTTCATTTTAGGTTGCTAGGGCTGGTAGATTTGGAACCAAAGGCCTTGCCATCACATTTGTCTCTGAGAAAACTGATGCTCAAGTTCTTAATTCCGTTCAAGATCGTTTTGAAGTCAACATCACTGAGTTGCCTGATGAGATTGATGTCAACAGTTACAGTAAGTGACTGTATGAACACTGTGTATCATGATTTATGATTTCTCTTTTATTCCTCTTATAGTTGAGCAGCTCTGAACAACATTTATGTGAATGTATAATGTTCTTTTTATTTTTAAAA